TGAATTTAGCATTACATTTTCATCATTAATAAAAATATTTATTACATTTCATAGTTATTTATTTTAATTTTTTATTATTTAACTATGACATTATTTATTAATCTATTTGACCCCAAATGGTCGAATTGCTTACCCACCACCAGGAGGGAAGAAAGTGGTTTTGTTTTCAAATTACTTTTCAAAATATTTATTTTTATACTATTAAAATTAATATTGTGGATTTAATTACAAGAATTTAATGATGAAAAAAATATATCTTACATATAGGATTTAATGAGAGAATAGGATAATGTTTTTATTTCCAATCGGTTTTAAATTTTACATTCCATTTCCATCGTTAATAAAAATCTTTGTTATTTATCATACTAATTATTATTTAAAAATGTTCCCAAATTTTTTAATTTTTATTTTTTTCAATCTATTTTTTAATTTTATTATTTAATCATGGCAACATGGATTAACCCATTTGACCCAAAATGATTTAATTTCTTATCACTACCTAGATGAAAACACTATTTTTTGCTAGGTAGATTTTAAAAGTATAAGATTTTATGTTATTAGAATTATTAATTTATTAAGTATGGATTTAATTAATAGAAATTAATGATGAGGGGAAACAAAAATGACTTAAATATGTGATTCAATGAACATGAATGCGAGTCAATAACTTAATGTTGGATTTATTGAAAGATAATTGAATGCATTGAATATCTTTAAATTACCTCTTTTCAACTCATTTAATATCAAGAACTACTATCCTATTTCCCCTCATTTTTTATCAATAAATTTAAATATATAGGGGTAAATTTTGTCCTTAAAAAAATCAGAAATATTTTTGAGGCCATTCTGCTTTTTAAAATAGTATAGATTATTTATAGGGTAAATTACAAAGACCCCCCCTATACAATGGGGTATGTGACAAAGACCCCTGTACTTTGTTTTACGACAAATACCCCGTACTAAATCGTGAGACAAAGACCCCCTTTCATTAGCCTTCCGTTGAAATCTGACTTACAATATTTTTTATTCCCTATACTACCCTTATTATACACGAATAAGAGAGGGTTTTTTGGAAGAGAGAGAGAAATCTGAAGGAATCTGATTATCAAATCGTTTAACCGGGACAGAACATCTTCCACAACTGAAAGCATCGGGGGGGGGGGGGGGCGTGGAAACGTTCTTCCAATGAGATGTGTTGGCTCCATTTCCGCTTCGGAGCACCACTAATGCCACACACGCTGCTAGGTTATCTATCACTCGCGAAACAACGCTGCTATTACTGTTGACTGATCTACTAAGGTGGTAACCATTCTTCTCCGCAGTCGTTGTCGGTGATCTGATCTTGTTCTGATTTGCTTGTGCGCTCGTCGTCGGTCTCTTCGTTCTTTCTCATTGCTTTTGAGGTTAGTCAATCAACTCTAATTCAAAGAGTTCAAAGAAATAGGTGGAACTAGTGGGCTAGTTTCCATTTGATGATCTATGACTACTTTCTTTTTCGATCTTAAGAAGCTTGAGTACAGAAGTAGTTCTTGGAGGTGGTGGGTGGGCATGGCACCAAGCATCAGAAAGGCGATTGGAGCGGCCGTTAAGGACCAGACCAACATTGGATTGGTGAAGGTTGCCAGTAATACCGCTCCGGACTTGGAGGTGGCAATCGTGAGGGCGACGAGATTGGATTGTGGCTACGTCTGACTTGGTACGTCAATGCCTGCGTCGCTAGTCGCTACCGTGTCGAGGTGGCTAGGTAATACACGGGATTGGATTGTGGCGCTCAAGGCATTGATTCTCGTCCACCGGCTGTTAAACGAGGGAGATCCGGTGTTTCAACAGGAGATCCTTTACGCGACTCATAGGGGAACTCGTCTTCTGAATATGCTGATTTTCGCGATGAGGCGCATTCAAATTCATGGGATCACTCGACCTTTGTTTGGACCTATGCACTCTATCTTGATCAGCGACTTGAGTGTATGATGCATGAGAGGAAACGGCGAGGTGGTGGCAGTGGCCACGACAGGGATGATAGGTTTGGGGACAGAGGCGAGCGGTGGAGGCCGCCACCGCGGTCTTATGAGTACAAGTATGGAGAATTCAAAGATGAACCTGGTTATGGAAACTACGGCGGACCGCCACGGCAGTCTAGGTCTTATGGGGATTTAAATGAATCACAAGGACGGGAGGAAAGGAAGCCAGTGACGCTGCTTAGGGACATGAAGCCCGAAAGGGTTTTGGGCAGGATGCATTAGCTACAGCGGCTTCTCGTTCTCGATCGGTTCTTGGCCTGTCGACCCACCGACACAGCCAAGAGCCCAAACCACAACAACAACATGATTTAAGGGATGATGGTGCTTCCGCTGAAGATCAGTCAAACAGGTTGACGCTGGCTCTGTTTTCTGGAAGGCCTAATGGAAATGCCAATAACTCTTGGGAGGCATTCCCATCTGAGGGAGGTGCATCTAGACAGCCTGAAGTAACCTCAGCGGCAGACTCCTGTTGCCAAGGCTGGAAAGGCAGATTGGAAGTTGGCTCTGTGCTCCTGAACGGCATGTATGATCAGGGGGCTGTGAGGCAGCAAATGAGCACTCTCTCTCTTTCTCTCTCTCCCCAAAAAAACCTTCGTTGTTCGTTTACTGCGAGGTCAGAGAAGATGAATAGTATTTTTCTTTGAATAGTTACTACAAGGGTAGTATGAGGATTAAAAAATATTGTAACAGTGGACTTCAATGGAAGGGGTCTTTGTCTCACGATATAGTACAGGGGGTCTTTGCCACAGATCCTATAATACAGGGGGATCTTTGTAATTTACCCTTATTTATATTCATTGGCAGTGCAAATATTGCATTCCAAAGACTGATGCAAAATTTGGACAACTTGCTTTTGACCTCACTTCCAAACAATTTGCTCTCTTACCTCAATTTTCTTTCATATAAGGTCGGAATTAGCTCACATGCATTTACACGGCTACACCCATACACAAACAAATTAAATGTAAATTTTATGATTTGCACTGAATGGAATGCAAATTTTGCACCTGGTTCAGTTTTGTGTCCTTTTATTTTGTATGCCTCAGTTTGGAAGAGTACAAAGACCCTTTTGCTTTTCTTGGTACAAGGGTATGTTTTACTTTGCACTAGTGCAAATAAAATCATGCAAATTCTGGTACACTCTTGCTTTTGCTTTGTTTTATACATTATTTTACATTGCAAACAATCAAGGTTTCAAAGTATCAATCGCCTATGTCAATGCTTTTTTTCTATGTTTTGTTTATGTTTTCAAAACCGGTTCAAATGGATTAGTTTGAGTCTCAACTACCCTTTGAACCATGGTCTGACATGATACAACCCTTGTAGGGGCATATTGGAAAACTCCCGGCATGATACGGGCCGATACATATTGATACTTTGAACCTTGCAAACAATAATAAAGTAATAGTTGAAGCAAAAATAAATCAAAGTTTGCACTAAAATCATTTGTACTCCAATACTTTTTCATCAATGCGAATTTGCATTGCAAACAAATCAGGCCTTGTGTCAAAGTAAACAACTTCGTGAAAAAGTGGAACCAAAAGAAAATTAGAAGGGTTTTGTTTTCTCCACGAAAAACATTCCTATAAGTTCAATTCAATGTTCTTTCATTGTTTTCCCCTCTTTAGGCTCTGTTTGTATGCACACTTACACATGAAATGGATGAAAATGAATGTTTAAGTTATTTATGTAGGGCATACAATTCTCATTTCCTAACAAAATAACCAAACACCATTCTTTAGTTCCTCCAAGTATTTCTCTTTATTTTGTTTTTGGAAAGGAATGATATTTTCCCCATCCCTAATGTGGCTCCAACCTGCCCTGTGGGTTTTTTTTTGATTGTTGGGTCGAATTGAGGGCAGGTTTTAGGAAAATCCAAAGTTCTTTACACATATACACACATATATAATAAAATAAAATTATAGAAAATAATATATCTAGTAAAAATATTATAATTCTTAATTTTTTAAATATTAAATAAAAAATAAATTTTATATATACTTTTTTATTTTTATAAAATATTTTTCCTCGAGCTTATGAGTTGTTGACTCAAGCCGAGCTCAATATTCTAGCTTGAACCGAGCTCAAGCTCGAGCCTTATACAATCTTGGCGAACTGAGCTCAAGCCTCATACTACTCGGCTCGAATCCACCCCTAGATGGCATATAAACCTGGCAAAAAGTTGACCCAGCCTGCGAACCCGACCCAATCCAACCCGAAAAAACAGGGTTAGGGTCTCATATTTAGCTACCCGAATGTGAAAATGACCCGACTTGACCGAACCCGAAAAAACTGGGTTGGGTTGGGTTGGATCATGGGTCAACCTGCTGACCCAATTGTCAAGTCTAATTGGGATTATTTATGCATTGTTAGAAGTTTATACTCTTTAATTTTTTCTATTTAGTCTTTACTTTTTATTGTTTACTACTTTACTCTTTAAATTGTTAAATGTTCAATTTTTTATTTTATATTTAGAATTTTAAGGTTAATTCTTTTAATTTTGACATTTTTCATATAAAATTTCTTTATTTTTTTTTAATTTCAATTATTTTTTTTGGGATGACCCGAATTGACCCATGGGTCAATCCTAACCCGAACATTTAGGATTAGGGCCTAGCATTTGACAACCCAACCCGAAATTCAACCCGACCCAAAATCAACCCGAAGTACATTGACCCAACCCGAACCCGACCCATCCAACCCAATTCCTAGGTCTAATGGCATATGCAAAACACAGCCCCCGTCTCTCCCGTAACCATTCCTAACTGAAAACTAGAATCAGATTATGTTTCAGCAATAAAGTGACAAAATCCGACCCAGGCCAATTGGGCTGGACCTGGTCTTGCAAGTATGGGCTTTACCTATTGGTCGATCTGGGCTTTGTTTGGAATTTTACCTTCCAGAGTTGGGCCTAGGTTGTACCTAAATCCGGCCCAGACAGCCCAAGTTGCAACCCCTACCAAAACCCTAAATTGCAGCAAACTGTGGAGTTCGACTTCCTCGATCTCCAGCCTTGCTAGTTGCTACAATTACGTCGGAAATTCCAGTTTCAGAAGACAAAGAAGATCAGATTGAACCAGAGAAAGCAAAACAAGATGCAAAATCTGCATCGCGTCTTCTCTCGCCTCTCGATTTCGACAATTAATGCAAGAGCAATTGCATCACTAAGAGGATCGAGCTCAAGAGGTTTCTCCACGAAATCTGGGAGCGGAGGTGGAAATGAGGATGCTTGGGAGAAAGGTTGGGAGACCTACGGAGGTTCATCTTCTTCTTCTGGGAAAAAAGAACCTGACGGGTCCTCCTCTGATATCGGTTGGGACTCTGTTTCGTCGTGGTCGACCGGATTGACCAAAGAGCACTTCGATGGTGAGGTAGTGGGTCGTCAGGTATCTCCCGGATCCGGTGATGCGGCGCCGTCCCTTTCTCCGACGGTTTCAGAGTCGGATTTCAGTGATGAGGTGGCGGAGTTGGAGAAGGAGAACAGGAGGAGCAAGGAATACGTCGACAGTTGGGGAGAGAGGATGAAGGAGATCAGTGTCTTGCTGAAGCAGGTGAGAGAGCCTGGAGCTAGGGGCTCATATCTCAAGGACTCCGAGAAGGCTGAGATGTATCGTCTGCATAAAGAGAACCCCGAAGTCTATACAATCGAGAGATTGGCCAAGGATTATCGGATTATGCGGCAGAGGGTCCATGCTATCCTGTGGCTTAAGGAACTCGAGGAAGAAGAGGAGAAGAAGCTAGGCCACCCATTGGATGATTCTGTTGAGCTATTGCTTGATACTTGTCCAGAGTATGTTTAACAAAAACCCTTAACTTTTCCGCTTCATTGACATTATCTCCCAACACTTTTTTTTTGTTTTTTGTTTTTTGGTTTATCGATTGGTTTAGTGGGGATTCAAGCATGTGCGCTTGTTCTTTTGATTTGCATTTCATACCAGATAGCTACATAATCAACTTCTGCAATTCTGTATGTGTTTATATTTATTCTGTGGATGCTCCATTGCTATGAACTGTAGACCAGGGTATATTGATGTATGTATCTATTTTTCTCAAATACAGATATTGCTTAGAATAGAAAATGGCCTCATACTTCCTGTCTCCGTCTCAAACAAGTGGAAAAAATTTATTTCCCGACCCCTCTTCAACACCTCCCAATCCTATTTGGAGAAGGTGTAGAGGGAAGGTGCTGGCATGAGTTATTTGCATTAAGAAAGAAGCTAACACAACCTTGATTTGGAAAGAAGTGTGAAGTGAAGAATAAGCCAAGTATTGACAAATCCAAACTAATTAATGGAATCCAGACAAGAAACAAAGAAAAATGATTGAGTTCAAAGTTATTTTTGTTTTCCTCACCCTTTCTCTTTCGTCCTGGTTTCTTTTCCTTGAAGCAGGGAACAGTTTGCTTCATGCAGTTGGTGATGCTTGTAAGAAACTGTGTCAAAGTTTAAGTTCTAATCCAGTTTCTCAAAGGAAAAAAAGTTCAATGTTCTAATTTGGGAATTCAGTTGGCAATGGATACAGCTGAGGTTTCAGCTTGGAACTCTTTGTTGCATGTATGAGGGTGTGGAATTGCAGCTCAGAGTCCATTTGGACCAGTAATACAGAGATGCAATACTGAAATTTTGAGATTGCCTTTGTATCGGCCTTTCAATATAAAAGCTATAGCAGTTGGTGTTGTTCATTTGAGCAGGTTGGTTAGTGCTGCATTCCATTAAATAATGACTTCTAATTGCAGCAGAATAGATATGTATGGTTGTGCAGACCTTATGGCTCTAGTATCATAAGGTATTAAGTTACTAGAAAACTTCTCCTTTTGTACATAATTGGACCCCATCTATTTGATGAGTGCTAGACAGGAAAAAGTCAAACAGTGTTATCAATGCAGTGCAATGACTAGCCAATTAAGCTTTTCTAACTGATATGATGACTAGTTGGTGTGTAGTTGCTGACTAGGTGATAAAAAAAGATATATTCTGAATACAAGATATTGATGGAATCTTGTAAATAGGTTAATATAAGCTACATTTATGCCTTTGATCATTCAATGTGCCCTTTAGCTACATTGATGGAATCTTGTAGTTGCTGACTAGGTGATAAAAAAAGATATATTCTGAATACAACATAATTGAAAATTTAGCTTAATCTTTGTTTTGCAACAAAGAAAAGCTTCCAAAGAAGGTAAGCAACTTTGATCATTCAATGTGCCCTTTGTTTGTGGCAACTCTGAACCAACACAGTACTGTTTGGAAGAAAACATTATAGAACTCTAATACTGCTTTTATTTTATGCCTTTTTCTATTTTATATGCTTCCATCTCAAATATTTAAAGCAAAAGCATGAATATAACATAATGTAGTCATATTCTATGTTATTTGAAATAACTAGATACACAGACCAATAAAGCTCTAAAATGATTTTGTGGTTGACCCAGACACCTAGTTGATGTTTAGTCATCCTAGGTGCCTGCATCATGAGTATTGAACAACTAGCTAGTGGTGCACTTGGTTTGGCTCTCAAATCTCAACTGAGTAGTCAGTCAACTAGTTGACACTTTGATAACACTGGTATACATGACGGGCATTATACAGAAAATACCAGCTTATCCATTCTATACAAATAAATGTGCTATACATGAGATTTAAGGCATTGAAGCCCCATTTACATGCTTTCCCTTTTTACACCTTACCTTACATGGTGGAGCACTAGAGTTTTGGTCCCTTGGGATCCATCTAAAATTGGCCATGCATGAGCTGTTTCATTCCCCACATTAGTTAGCTACTGTTGGCCTTAATTGACTACAATCTCCCCATCTGATTGCATTCAGAGAAACACTTTCCAATTATATAGAAAGGTGGATTGGCCACAAGATGCAGTAGATCTCCCCTATAACAATTAACAAATTAAGTTATAATCATAAAAAAAATTAAGTAATGGACTACCAGAGGGCCCAGGGTTGCCAAGTACCATGCATATCTTGTTGAGTTCATTTAATCCTATCATATGTGGGATTCTTTATGGTTCAGAAATATAAAATATATCGTGACAATTCTTTAACCAGTGATATTTGCTGGGGTAATCAGTTAACAATTTTGTTTTACGCATAGTGCAAGTGGAAGGATTTATCTTTTCTATGTTTTGGGTGATTTTTTTATCACCAGGTTGCTCAATCCTTTTTTTTTAATCAATTTTTTCTTTACTATCACAAAAAAATGGGACACTTCTTCCTATAGACTTTTGTCATGTCAGACATTTGTTTATAGGACATGGCTCTCTAGGTATGTTGGATGGCTGACTGGATACATCTAGACTTGTATGTCTTCAATTGCTTAATTCTTCATCTTTAGCCAGCTTGTTCATCTTGGCAGGACTTTTCTCTTTCTACTACATCAGACCCCCTGCATCAATCCTGGTTGTTTAGATGTTAGACTAGTGTCTAATTTTCTATAGATAATGTTACAGGCTGGTTGAGGGTCTTAAAAAGTTATGTGAAACCATTCTTCAGCAAGGGGTTAGATTGCTGAGCAGCTGAGGTTCATGATCCATGAATAGAGCAAATAACCTTTTAGCTTTGTGAAGGAGGGGGAAAAAGGTCTGAGAAGAACATAAGAGCAGTGTTTTCAATGAGTCCGAGCTAATTTTTAACCTGTGCAATCAGTTGCAAAAATCCATTGACTTGGTTAATGACCTGGTGATTCGGCTGGTTCAGGTGACGAACCATTTTACCCAGCCAACAGGTCATGGGTTATGTATTTATTCTCTTTCTCTATTTCCCTTTTTGTATTTTTTAGCCAATAATTCATTTATCACTTATTTTGTTCAATATGGTGATTGATGAATATGTAATATTAGAAACTTTCCCGTTTTTTACATATTTTCTGTAGTTTTATATATTTTCAGTATATTTTAACAGTTTTATATTTTATTTTGTTTATGGCATCACAGTTTGACCCATTTGACTTGGATGGTTGAACTGTTGACCCCACCACCTAGATGGAAAGTGGTTCTGTTTCTGGGTTGGAGTTTTATAAAAGACATTTTTTATTGATGTAAAATGTCCTAGAGGCTGAAGGGATAAATTTGACTTCTAAGAAGTGATTTGAGAGGATTTACAATCAAGACAAAAAAAAAAAGGCTGGGGGGGGATAGACTGTAACTCTTCCTATTCCCTTGGTTTTTCCACCACCTAAGGGGACAAAATATTGACAGATGGGAGGAACAAAAATAAATATTGACATTACTGTTGCTCATCAAAAAAATTGGAGGGACATGTTTCTGACTATTAAAAAGCCAAGGGTAAAGTGTTATTTCAGAAACTTCTGAGGAGGTTCCATCCATTATCAAAATCCCCAAGGGTCATTTAACTAATTTATCCTTAATATTGTTCTTTTATATATTTGTCCATCTCTTACTATTAATTATTGCTGTTATTGTTATTATATACATGTGTTTCTTGGGGAGGGTAATTGAATTGGTTAACTTTTCGCTCCTGCAGATTATTCAATTCTCATGACAGGGAATTCCATTTGGCTTCCCTTCCTTACAAGCCTGATTTTAAGGTTATGCCTGAGGGCTGGGATGGTACTACCAGAGATCCTGATGAGGTTCATTATGAAATATCAATGAAGGAAGATGAGATGCTATATGAAGAATTTGTCCAAAGAATGAACTTCAACAAAAAGAAGGTGAGTTCTAGATGTCCATAACCGTAGCTCAACTTAAAAGCAAATAATAATCTACAGTACCAGTATTATCCGGTTAAAATTTTAAAGTTCTTACAAGAAAGAAATGTATGTTGTATATTACATTGTTTTGCTTGCATAAATCTCTAAATACTTGGTGAATTTTAAAAAGCTTGTATTATTTGGTTGAGTTTTCGGAATTTCATCAACAGGATGATATTTGTAATATGCACTGGATCTTTATATACATAAATTATATTGAAAAAAACTGAAATCACTTGATTAGATTCTTTGTTATGATGCAGATAACAATGAGTCAAATGTAGGATTTTCTGTTTTTTTTTGTATTTTGGATTGTAGGGGTATTTCTGTAATTTCCAGAAGTTTCTTTTATTATTTAAATCATTGGTAGCTTTTCTAATTGATGATTTGGTCATATGCATAGAAGACCATTAACAGCACCTGTAAGAAGTGATTTATTGCAAGTTGAAGGGGCCGGAAAGGGCAGGGGTAGAAGTAGTAAAAAATGATTTTAGGTGTCAATAATTTAACAATGGATATGACTCTAAACAGAATGTAATGACGAAACAGGATTCATGTAGCCGATCCACATAGTTGGAATAAGGCTTGGATGATGAGGAGTAGTTTTTCTAATTGTGTTAGGGTTTGGTACCTAATTGCATTTCTCTAATTGCACTAGGAGTTAGTTTCATAATAGTTTCCTAATTGGATTAGTAGTTGTTTTAGCAAGTCAAAATTATGTTCATATGTTAGAGAGCATAGCCATAAAGTAAGCAGTATTTGGCTTATTCCTAGTTCTAAGTCAATTTGGATTTGTATTAAGTAAAAGTCTTACTCCTTAGCCAATTAGGATTTGTCCTAGAAAAGGGTGATCCAAGTTTGTTTGTGCTCCCAGAAGCTGCTCAAGTGAGGAAGGAAGATGTGGGGATGATCTTTGGGAGATGGGGGGATTTCAAAGATCTGTTCAACTGGTGATGGTTAGTTTTTTGTTTCTGTTATTGCTGTCATTTTTCTATTTCTGGGTGTTGCCTCAACACACTCAGAATGTATTTTTCTTTTTTCTTTTAAAATGAAATTTTCTTTTTACCCATCAAAGAAAAAGGGTGATCCAAGTTCCCCCTCTTTGCCTATAAATATATGTTAGGCCCTCTCTTTTTGGGTTTTTGCTTCTAGAATTGGAGTGATTCTAACACAAGAAGATGCTGACTCTAGAGTCCAACTTTGGTGCTGATACTAAAGCCTTGGTGTTTTTGCATTCTCACTTTTTATTCCCATATTCTCCCTTCTCTGCTATTGTTTTGAGCTTTCTGGCTCTAAAAATACATATTTTCTGATCTGCTGCTTCTCTAATCACACCTCCAAACGATCCCCTTATAAAAATACATTTTTCTATTTCTCTTTTGCCTTGTCACCATCCTTTGGGAATCTGCTTATTATTTCAGACTTCTTTAAATGAAGAAAAGAAACAGGTATTTTACAAACATCCCTTGGGGGAGGGTAAGAGCTTTACCCTACCTGAATACAATGTTTAATTTACTATTGAGCCCAAAACAATTGTTCCCCAGTAACCTCTTCATGGCCAAATGCATAGACAGTCCATTAGCCAACCTTTTTACCATTTGGTTTTTTATTTGCATATCTCTTGCTAGCCACTCTAATTACCACTTTCAAATCCCCTGCAATGAGTAGCTTTTTGATATTCATTTTCTTTACCAATTGTATTCCTTGAAGAGCAGCCATGAATTCCACCCTTGTATAGTCCCCTGCTCTAATTGGGCCTGAGAACAATGCCTTCACTTGGCCTTCTTCATCCCTAGAAACACCTCTCACTCCAGAAGGACCCAGATACCGTAGCTACTTTCATCAAAATTGAGCTTAATAGTCTTTTTGAGGTGATGTCTAATTCTTCTGGATCATATTCCTTTCTCTAGAAGAGGTTGCAGCCAGTTCCCCCCATTTTCCCATTCAAATGTGTTGGTTTTCTCTTGGTTTGTGGTTTTGGTGGGAAACAAGGTTACCATCATCTGGTCTATGGTCCCTTTTTCTATCTAATGGTCTATTTGAAAAGATTGTATCAAAGAATATTCAACAGGTGAAACGCCCTTGGTGCATACCTTTATAAATGGTAATGAATAATATTTCATTAATAATAAAGCAAAAAGATTCCAGTTGTCAATTAGAAAAAAAAGAAAGATTCCACTTCATCAATTCTGTGCAAGTAGTACAACTGCTGGAAATAAGGTGCTTGCCATACTGGTCTCTTAGTTCTGCACCCTTTTCTGTAAGTTTGTCTAGACATGTTTGCAAGGGATTGAGGTGTGTAATATATGCATTCTTCTTCGTTTACTTCCTGAACATGTTAATAGACACGAGAAGTAAACACGGGCTATTGTGAAACCATTTTCTTATGTTGCCTTTCAAAAAACTGTTTTCTCATGTGATGTTGATTCTTACAGATGGCTGGTGAAGTAAAAAGCCACAAGTATAGCAGGAGACGCTCCTCTGAAGGCTGGAACTTCACGGTTGAGAAACTAGGTCCACGAGAAAAGCGGGGAAATGGTGGTGGCTGGAAATTTGTCAGCTTACCAGATGGGTCCAGCCGTCCATTAAATGAAATGGAGAAGATGTATGTGAAAAGGGAGACAGTCAGACGCCGTCGAAGAATTCTTCCTTGATTTGTCCTAGAGCAAATTTTCTACTGTTTATTGCTGTGTGGCAACTAATCTTTCCAGAATTTACAAGCTAAGCTCCTCTAACAGGTCAGAATCTCAAAATATGTTCTTATGTTTAGCTTAGCTGCCAAAAAAAATGTTTAGCTTAGTTCTCATCCCTCCTATGGTAGAACAGGAGAATGGTTAAAATCCTGGTCTCGATTATGTGATACAATCTTCGGATGAATCATGAATGAGATAATGTAGCGCAACGGGATGGTTTATGTAGAAAAAAGATCTAGAAATGCTTTTTTTTTTTGAGTACTTATTCGGAAATACCCAATGAAATTCAATTTTGGGCGTCAAAGTCTCGAAGTCATCAAATTTGGGTGGGATCAGAGCCACTGATGTTGTCTTGTGAATAGAACGATGAGATAGTTTATATAAAAAGTCATGTAGTTATGCATTGTGGAGTACTTATTTAGATCATGCCCTATGAAATTGATTTTGTTGTAGGGGTGAGCAAGAAAAACTGAAAAACCGACCGAAACCGAATAAAAAATCTGGTTAACTGAATTGGTCGGTTCGGTTTTGGTTAATCAATATAGAAAATTAGTGGTTAGTTGAATCGACCGGTATAGATATATTTCTATATATTATATATATTATAAATCAATAAATATGCATTATATATAAATATATATTTATAATATATAATATATTATCTATTGTTTAAAACATAATATTTTATATATATTTCCACTTTTTACTATATATTTATACATTTGTTATAATATATATTGTAAATATAAAAAAACTGAAAAATTGACGAATTGAATCGCTGGTTAACCAAACTGGTCAATTAGTTAGCTGATGGGCTTCAGTTCGGTTTTGGTTACGGGTTTTCCATAAATCGGTAGTACCTGTTCGGTTTCAGAGCACCTCTACTTTGTTGGGTGTAAAAGAAAGAAAATTTGTGGGGGTTGAACCAGCCTACCAGGTTTCCCCTACCTTTCCCTTCCTCCTCCTACCTTCTTTCAAACCAAACACAACTTTAGTGGCAATTTGTGAAGTCACATTTTATAGGTACTTTTCAGCCCTATGTATTGTATGCAAATCAAGGATTAAAGTATCGGTATCGGGTATTGTATCGGACAACTCGAATATGGATACAGATACGGATACGTTTTGAAAATGTATAGATATGGACGAAAAAGATGGAAACACATGGATATGTTAGGGAAATATATATGAATTTCATAAATATATTAATCACACTAAATTTAAGATCAAAATGATCACAACATAGTATATAAATACATAAAAATGTAAATATTAAGGATATATATATGAAGAAATATGTTATGATTAATGAATTAGGATGCATAATTTTATTTATAGTGCATCAATCAAGAGTCCAAGACACTAAAGTTATGCACCTATTATATTTTAATTATTATATCAATTATTTTTTATTTTACTATTTTAATTTTTTAACATTAAGAAAAAGTCAACTAAATATTAAATTTTCAAGTGCAAATTAAAATATCAATTAATAATTTATAAAAATATAATCTTAACATAAAGTATATCAAATTTGTTAAAATTTCTAAGATGCATATCATATACAAATTCATAGTTTTTAATTACTAAGGGTATTATTCCATTATTAATATTTTTATTTATATAAATTTTATGAAATAAAAAAAATCATTTTTTGAAATAAATGTAGATTAGTGGATTTGATAGATTCAATTTAATATTATATTCTTTAAAATTTTGTATATAATATTTTTATTTTTATTGGAAATAATAAATATGTTGTTATTACTTATTAATGTAAATTAAAATATTAGTTAATAACTAWTAAAAGTATATAAAAATTTTAAGATTTATATCATGTGCAAATTTATAAATTTTAAGTATTAAAATAATTATTCTATTATTAATATTCTATTTGTATAAATTTCTTGATATAAAAGTTAATCTTTTTTATATAAATGTGGATTTGATACATTATTTATTCTATTAGTTTATAAAATACTATTTTTAAATATTATTTTTTTTTAATTTTTAGTTAGCGTTGTTAAATATAAATACGTGTGTTTTGTTTAAATTGCATGTGAATAGAAAAAGTTAATAAAATTTATTTTATTTTACTTTATATTACAAAATGTAGTGCGGCTTACTTGTTTGGAAACCCCACAAATTCTATTGTGTGTGAATCGACTTGGGTTTGAATCACTCTTTTGCAATTTTTTATAGAGAGTTCTGAATGGATGCAGCGCGTATCGGTGCATATCGGCCAATACAATGCGATATTTAAATCCCTGATGCAAATACGAGTTAGGATACATACCGTGCATGAAGCTTTGTGAAGCACAATTGAAGTGGAAGGAGCATTGTAGATTTCAATTTTCAATTAGGGTTAACTTATTGATACCTAATAGAGGGTGATTTGACCCGACCCCTTGAGACGGTGACACATGGACATGACTCAGCACAAGTAACAACTCAGCACAACGGCTTGCCCGCGACTAAGTAACGAGCTCGCAAGGTAGTTCGCTACGTCACAGCTCGCCACAGGGTGAGCTCGCTACAGCGTGATCTCGAGGACCCCCGACGTACTAAAAGGGAATACTCCAAGACAAGTCTATCCAGCTCGCGAGCTAGGATAACCAGCTCGCTCCGATACTCAGGCAGAGAAACTGCCCCAAAAGCAACCTCAAGAGGAATCACCTCGAAGTACCCCTAGGAGCTCGCTACAAGGTAGCTCGCAAGAGGATAGCTCGCTACTAAGCGACGCGATGTTTTCAGGAAGCTTCTATCTGACTAGACCGTACCCGTCAAACTGCACCACGTCTCCTGACTGACGGCGAAGTCCCTACCAGCCCGACAGACTGCACCTACGACTCTCGACAAATGGTGGTGTGTCTGTCCTTCCGAGACGTGTTGCTCATCCGATTGGGTGGTAATCTGCAACGGTTGCCTGCGCAGCCCTAGCAGATAACGACTGCAATAGAGGTCCAGTGGCGGTTACGCCCGATTTGACAAGAACACTCATATTAAGAGCCCCATGGTTGAAGGGGAAAAGTATCTTTAACATATCTGATCTTTATCTCGAGCTAATCTCAAACACTCAGTGATCTAGCGCGACCTGCACTCTTAGCTGTTTTTACACTCTTTATTGCTTTCTCCAATGTTCTAACTTAAGCATCAGAGTATTCCCACCGGGCAAGTCCCCCGGGAATCCTTCACCGTCTTCTTCTCAGGTACCGTTCGTCGCCAGCCAGGAGCCAGTCGACTGCCAGCTAGGAGTGCCCAGATTGCGCACCATCATTTGGTGCCGTCTACGGGAAACGCTTAAAAAAAGCCTTCCTCTAAGTTTCTACAACTTTCCTTTGAGGACTTAGCATTCATGGCCTCTTCCAGCAACGTCGGACGTGGTGTCGACCAGAACGCTTCTGGGGAGCAACCCCAGCTTCCCACTGTCTGTATTGGACAGTTCACCGTTCCCCTCTCTGTGGATGGAATCCCCAGCTTGAATGTGCCTCTCACGGTGGCACCTGTGAATGCTCCACTCCCTTCCACGGTAGGGGTGACCTTCGCTAAACCTTTGATTGTTCCTCCAGTGACCAACCAAAACCAGTTGGAAGACCTAGTACAGTGCATACGAGCCATGCAAGCTCAAATCCAATAGTTCCAGCAGTTTCGACTCTACCAGCAACAAGTGCTGCATCAGGTCTCTCAGTACCAGTACCAACATCAGTTCCCTTCCTTGTAGTTTTCATAAAGACCACGGTCACAACACCGAGAATTGTAAAAACCTCCGCGACGAGATAGAAGAGCTCATCCGTCGTGGGTACTTGAAAAATTTTGTACAAAATAATAGTAGTAATAAAGCAGGTCAGCAGGGGGAGCAGAGTAGAGATGCTCATGAATCTAGCAAGCAGGTAGAGCAACCTCAGAGGCAGCCCCCAGAAGAGAGACCAGTTCGGGGGACCATCCACATGATTGTTGGAGGTTCGATTGTGGCGGGCTGCACCTCAGCTGTAGCTCGGACATCAGCTCGCAAGGCCGCCAGGGAAGAATAGAACCCCCCGAAGCGGCCAAGGATGGAAGACCCGATCTTCTTCACAGAATATGATGCGCGCGGGGTCCACTACCCCCATGATGACGCGCTCGTCATAAAGGTGAAGATCAACGACTTTGAAGTCAGGCGCGTCCTCGTCGACTCAGGCAGTTCGGTAGATATCCTCTTCAAAGCAGCTTTTGACCAGCTTCAGCTCCAAGAGAGTGACTTGAAACCCGCGAACACTCTCCAGGTAGGCTTCAGCGGAGAGGAAGTCAGGTCCCTAGGAAGGATTATAGTACCTGTGGAAGTTGGCACTTGGCTTAGCATAGTGAGGCTCAACCACGACATTTTAGTGGTCGCGACCCCCTCCCCGTACAATACCATAGTAGGTCAGCCGATCACCCATGCCTTACGAGTTGTGGTCTCCACTTACTAGTTGGCCAAAAGTTCCCCACAGACTTCGAAATCGGGATAGCACGAGGTGACCAGCTTGAGTCTCACAAATGCTATGTTGCCGCCCTCAAAGGGAAAGCTAAGGTGGCTGACAACCTCGAGCTGGAGCGACCTACGGAGCAGTGCGAGGAGCGAGATGCGCCCACAGAAGAGATCGTCTCTATCCCGGCATCGACGGAGAACCCAACCCGGACACTTCAGATCAGCGCTTCCATTAAAGAGCCTTTGCGATCTAAACTGGTACGCCTCTTACTTGAAAATTTAGATGTTTTTGCATGGTCCGCGACGAAAATGCCCGACATAGACCATAGCATTATAACTCACAAGCTTAATACCGATCTTGTAGTTAGGCCCGTTAGACAGAAGAAACGCAACCTAGCCCCAGAGCGATGGAGGGCAGTCGACGAGGAGGTCGGGAAGCTCCTTGCAGCCGATTTTATTAGGGAAGTCCATTACCCGAGCTGGGTGGCCAACCCCGTTCTGGTGAAAAAGGCTAACGGTAAATGGCGCATGTGCGTCGACTACACCGACCTGAATCGAACTTGCCCAAAGGATTGCTTCCCACTCCCTAGGATCGACCGTCTAGTGGACGCAACCTCAGGGCATGAGTTGTTGAGTTTCCTAGACGCCTATTCGGTTTACAATCAAATCAAGATGGACCCAGCTGATGAGGAAAAGACCGCCTTTACAACCGAGCTCGACCTGTACTGTTACAAGGTCATGCCCTTTGGGTTGAAAAATGCCGGGGCAACCTTTCAGCGACTTGTGAATAAATTGTTTGAGCC